AAAAAAGGAGAAAGCCCTATGATTATTAAATAGAACAATTATACTCTGTGTACATAAGGGTAAAAAAAATAATAATTGTACAATTGCTGCCACCATCAATTTCAAAACATTTTCGTTCTTCTTGATGAACTTTTTGATATCAGCTCTCCTTTATCCTTCCCTCCCTGTCCTACCTCCCAGGAACCCTTATTTTATTTTTATTTATAGATATATTTGCCGTATCTTATGCCATCCAATGTATCTGCTCACCTACAATTCTATTATTCATTCCCCTCGAATGGGGTTATACAGTTTTCATTGCTATCAATTTCTCTCCCCCGCCCCCCCCTTTCTCTTCCTATACCCTCAGGGAATCATTACTCCCTTTACTATTTCTAAAGGGTTTATCTATCTTGGATTTCATGCATTGAACAATCTTAATTACACAAATGGACATATGCAGGGCCAACAAGATTAATGGGGTAAAATTAAGACCATAATAGTAAGGGGAGGAAATATTAAAGGATAGTTATGTGTTTCATCAGTGCTATACTGTACCCTAGATAGATCATCCCTTCCATGTGGCCCTTCTGTGAGGGACTATCCAGTTACCTTACAGGTGGGTTTTGAGCCTTCACTTTGTTTACACCCCTTTATGTCAATTTGATTGCTTGTTTTTGAACTACTTTAAAAAAATAATTTATTATTATTAGGCTAATCATTTTATTGGGGGCTCTTACAGCTCTTATAACATTCCATACATCAAGTGTATCAATCATATTTATACATATGTTGCCATCAACATTTCCAAAACATTTTCTTCTTGAGCCCTTGGTATCAGCTCCTCCTTTTTCCCTTCCCTCCCTCACCCTCTTGTTTTTGAACTTCTGATACCTATTCCTTTTGACACTTCATGACATCTATGAGTCACTGTGGTTGACCTAAGAGCACTGGTGCCTCAGTGTTTCCTGTTGGGCTGCAATCCACAAGGTCAGCAGTTTGAAATCACCAGCTACTCCACAGGAGAAACAGTGGGCTTTCTAATTGAAATGTCTTGGTCAGTTCATCTCAGTTAAGGATACTAGGGTTAACAGAACAGGAACATTGTTTACTTCTCCCTCTTTAACCAGTTAAAAATTTTGCATGTGAAGTTTTAGGACTCAGTTTACTAATAAGTTACTCCCTGTTCATTGGGTGCTGATCTTTATTTTTCAGGAAATTGTAAATATTTATCCATCTATCAATCCACCCACCTTGACAGCACACCAGTCGAACAGAGTTTGCAATGCCCTGGCATTACTGCAGTGTGTGGCATCACACCCAGAAACCAGGTAAATACCTTGGGTGGGGTTGAATTTGGGCCTACTTTTTCTCCCTGAGTGTTGAGAGGACTAAGGAGCGGATGGAGTAGGTGTGTATCGCACCTTTTCTCATTTTGCATATGCGTAGCAATGAACTCTAATGGATCTGTATTCGCATCTCAGGAAAGGAATTTATGTCAGGAAAACAACCGCTTCTCCCCTTAAACTCCAGGGAGCATCACTGCACCATGCATAAGGCATCATGCATGGCATATAGTAAGAATTCAGTAAATATTTCAGTAAATAAGCCCAGATTTACCCTCAGAATTCTTAGCACACTTGAGATAGCCTCTGTCGGGGGAGAAAAGTGGTGTGTGACTTGAAATTTTTGTGCAATCCTGTTATACCTGAAGTTTTTTTCAAAGGAAAATCTTGTTCTAGAATCTCCTGTGTGGCTTTTACGGCTCTAAGGCATTTACTAAACATTTCATTAAAGGCTTTCCCCGCCATGAAGTTTCCTTATAAAATCTGATTGCTAGATTAGCATTGTCCTTAATGAGCTTTAGAGATGTTCCCAATGAAATTACTTTTAAGTACTTAAGAAAAATGCAGGAGTACTTTGAATGTTAAAAGTGTTGGGTGTTGTAATTATAAATAATATAAGGTCAATCAGCAAAGCAATAGAGTCGATCTCACTTCAATCTGCAGCTGTATGTCGGGGAACAAATAAGGAAAATGATTTATTGCTTTATATTATTATTTATAGTTACAAGTGAGTCATGTCTTCCAAAAACCCTTGGAGAAATGGAATTAAAAAACTTGACTAAGTTTTTCCACAAACTTTTGAAGCTCCTGGATCTGAAACCCCCAAACAAAAAGAAGAGTGTGCCTGTAGGCATAGCAAATAAGCCTGGCTGCTTTGATTTGTTGTCTTGGCTCATAAGGTTTTGTTTCACTGCACCTGTAAATAATAGGGAAAGAAGGGAATCCAGGAGAATTTCTTATGCAGTTAATAGTCTTTTATGGCCTATTTTTTTTTAATCTACAGTTGACTATTTTAAAGTAACCAGTCTTAAATGGTGCTAATTACTGGGGAAATGACATATTCTCGTAACTATTGGACTAAACAAGGGTTTCTCAACCTCAGCACTATGAGCATTTTGCCTAAATTGTTGTGGGCAGACAGGAGGGGCCTGATCTTTAGCAGCATGTTTGTCCTCTGCCCTTTAAAAGCCAATAGCACCCTCTCAGTTGTCATAACCAAACGAGTCTTCATATATTGCCATAACGACCCCTGGGAAACAAACCTCCCCCATTTGAGAACCACTGGTCTGGATGAAGGACTGATAGCATCTTTTTTCTCTTGCTCTGGCAATGTAAGAGACCTCACAGAAT